AAAAATAGGATAAATTAAACTCATTTGTGATGGAATAGTTATATATATTACTATATGTTCATTCTTGCCTGTACTATTATGTAGGGATGATGCAAATGCCATCTTGTTAGCATTGTTTTTGAAGGATTGATATTAGCCATCCCTACATTTACTTCCTTTTTTGAAAAGTATTTTCTTTACTTAGTTGCTTGTTTGTTTTTAATGCAGTGTTTCACTAGACATAGGAAGGTTGTATTTATAACTAAATTTTAAATACATTAAGATTCCAACTATAATATTTATTGTTTATCTATTATTGGTTGGTAATTCTTGTTTCACCCTGTACTTAAGCTTTTTTGAGGAACACCAAATTTCTGTAAGAAAGTTAACTTCAAGGGGTAATAATAATATTATTTACACTAATTATGATTTTTAAAAAAATACTACTAGCTAAAAATACTTATAAAAGTGGATAATCCATTTGAAACTGTCACCTCAGTTGACACCATTGTTTTGGTTTTTGAGTTATGTAATAAAAAAGACTCAGAAGAACAAGAAATTCAAATTTTTTGCTATGATATCTAGAGAACTTGACTTGATCATTACATATATGTAGTTATAAAAGGAAACACTATAGTATTGTAAAGTTCTGATGATCTAATGAGGGAATATTTAGAATACTATTTCGATGAACAATCTGGGTCATCCCTACTGCCTGCCTGATAGAGGGTGAAACTGTTTCAAAAAATGGCATCTATTTGATAAGATTTTGCCCTTGTTATTAGAAAATGAATTTAACACATTGTATTATTTATTCAACAGTAAATTTTTATCATTATAGAGAATTACTAAAAGAAGTCGTTATTGTTTTGCATTAACTAATTTGACATACCATCTGATATCTTTATGTAATTTTTTGAGATGTCCACAAATACATGTACTAAACTTTAACATACATATGCAACTTTTAACCAATATAATGCAGTAGCAAAACGTATTTAAATACATCTTTAAGTTTCAGAAAAAACATCACACATTTTAGAAGTTTGTTAATGTTTCATATCATCTTTACTATCTGATTTGATTGTTTATTCTTGTGAACAGTTTGAAGAATTAACCAGTTGAGTGAAAATGTTTATTAAAAGTGCCACATGATGAAAAAAAAAGTTACAGAAAGTTGATGAAAACTTGTGTTAATTAACTGTTAAGTATTAGGTATAACTGCCATCCCAGTAATCCTAGATCAAATATTAAACAATTTATGAAAATATCAGTATGTTAGCTCTAAAACTAATGTAAAATCACAATTAGTGAATAGTTATTTTGAATGTCTTGTAAGTAATACAACAACTTGTAATTTCAGCAACGTAAAGACTGGAGGCCAGAACTCTTGCAACAGGAAAATGTAGCAAAAAAGGTTATTATTTTTTCATATTTACTTCAGAAGTATGTACTCAAAAAATTGCCCGAACTTTCATCTTGTATTTTGAAATGTTTAATGTTTTGTTATTATGTTTTGTTTTAGTATATTTTTTTGTGTTAAATAAAATAATTCATATATTCAAGGTTGCTTTATATGTTAGTTTTTTTTTTTTTAGATAATAGTAAACTTTGTATTCTCATGAAAGTTCAGACTAGTTAAAACTAGGCATTTGCATTTTGCCCAAGAAAATTGTGATTGTAGACAATTTTTTTATGTACGTACATCTCATTATGTTAGAGTGTGGTTTACAGATGCTTTTTATTTTTTTCCTTTATTTTCAGATGTCCAAGATTTTACTTTTCGTTGTTGACAACCAAACTCGTTCTGTGGCTACCATGATTGAAACAGCCTATCTAGCAGGTAAGATTAACAGAAATAAATGTTCTGTTTTGCATTAACTAGTTATCTCTCATATCTAGTGAAGAATTGCAGTATCTGTAAATGTTTTGGTCTTATATTTTGCAGCTTTGTAATGTGTATGGCTTATTTAAACATAATTTTATTTTTTACACTTCTTAAATATTTTTGGTTTTTAATTCTTAAAGATCTTCTAGCACTTTATATTCTATCTCAAGTAGAGCTAATTTGTAACTAAGATGCTTTCTCAGAAAGATGAGTGTCAAAGTAACAGATTTCTGGACACCTGGCTTTATATTATAACTGCTGTTGCAAAGAGTTATTATAACTTCTGTGCATTTCTCTGTTTGTAATGGAGCTTATTGTGGACTTTGAAACTCAGTACTATTGTCTACACTTGGTATGTTTACTATAGTTCAATTTGAAACTACAAGTATGTTTCACCTTTGCTGTATTGTCAGAAAAAATTGGACTGTGGGCCTTATAGGTCTGTGTAGATAACTATTCTCTATCACAACATTCCCATAAATATAACCAGTCATGATATTCTAAGCATATCCACTTACCCATGCGTATATTATATTTAATTTTATGGAATGCATCAAATAACTTGTTCACAAACTGAAGCTTTCACACAACTTTTTATTAGTTGTACATAGTAAAACTTTTCTCAACTTCCACACAGACTTCCAAATATGTGTATTTCATAAGCACACTCACTCTGGGCTTTACATTTCCTTGTAATTTCCTTCATAACCAATGCCAAAAGCTAGCTATATTAAAAGGAGACATCTGTACAAATAGTATCTTAAGTTCCAACATTGATTGTTTCAAAAAAGAAAACCGTAGATTACAGTTTTGTATACAATACAATTTCCCTCCCACTGTTGTTAATAAAACAATTGCTTCTTTTGAAGATAAACTGCAAATTGACACAGAAAATTACTCTTCTGAATATGTCCCTGTTATCTGTATTTCACCATTCATCCCAAAATTATCTCATGCTGGCAAAAAAAATCTGGTTAAAAATAGTCAGAGTATAAAAATTTACATTAAAGTAAAATTTACATTTTTACCTGAAAAGAAGCTGGGTCAGCTGCTATCCAAAAAGTATATGAATAATGATACCTCAGGAAATGTGCAATTGAATGTACAGATTGAAAAAGCTGTTATATTGGTAAGACTAACAGGCAACATTTTGCAGGAACATTTTAAATCTCTATTTCATGTTTTTGAACATGTTTCTACGAAAAATCAAATTCTTTTGATTCTTCACAGGTAAAAATCCTCAACATTGATAGACAAAAAATAAAAGGAATCCTATTAATTAAAAACATAACCCTATTCTTAACAAATACGAAAGCATTCATTTATATCTATCTTAATTCCCTTCTCTTTTGTACATAGATTGTATTTCAATACTTAGGCTCAGGCTTAAATGTTTTATTTATTTATTATACTTAAATTTGACAGTTCATTGATAAATTATTTGATTGTTTACAATTGGTCAATCTTTATGCTTGTAGAATACTATCGTCATATTCTTGATTAGCTTCAGTTCTTGTATGACACCTGATAATGCCAGGTAAACCTGGCAAAACGTTGTGAATAAAATAGTTTTACTACGTACAACTGATAAAAACTTGTGTGAATTTTAAAAACATAATTCTTTTAATATTTAATTCATAAAACTGAAACTTTGTTTTTTTAGGAACTTGTGCAAAGAACTTGTTTCTTGTGATTCAGAACCTAGAAGATACGCAGTCCATCTTACACAGAGAAGTAATCTCTAATGAGTAAGTAACTGAAAACAGAAATAACAATTCTTGCAAGTGGTGTTTAGACTACAATCTCATAAACAAAATTGTACTCATTATGCATGTAGCTTTAGCAAGCTAATTATATCATTCTTATTAATCTTGTATCCATAGTGGTTTTCTACACTTTCTTGGTTCTTTTTTTTCTCCAATATCTACCACTGTTATAGACTTGTGTGGCTAAAAAGTCCAGTTCTTAAGAACACTTGGTAAACCCTCTTTAAGATATTTTTACTATGGTTTCTATGTTGATCTTGCTATTTTGGTTGTTTCTAATGATCTTAACTATAAATAAATGTTATCAGATGTATAGAGAAAAAAGGAATGGAAAGTTTACTTAATGAAAATATGTGATTACTTTAGTGTTCTTTGTCACCAAACTTGACACTTGTAAGTACTTTTACTCTATTGCACGATTCATGTGTGATTATAATAAATACTTGTAATAAAGCAATAAACTAACATTGTAATAACTTTTATCATGAAATATTGCTCTTACTGTTTAATGTTTAAACATTAGTCTGATTACAAGAAGGTTTTGTTAATTAATATAATGTTTTATCTTTTATATATTTACAAGGACCCGCAGATCTATCATTAGTCATGAAAACTTCATGGTTCACTTGCATTCATAAAAATCATGTTGGTGTTAGATTCAAAAGTCAAGAAGCCTCTTGAAAAAGATAGCTAATATTATACATAGTTAAGAAAAAATCACAAGTCAGAAATGGATTGTGTGATAGAACTTATTTCATCTTCATTCAGTTACTAGAAGTAATTTCAAACATAAAATGTGCATAGAAATAAGAAAATATTTTAAGTTGATAGAAACAGTTTTCCAAAATTTATCACATTTGTAGAGGGCACTTTGGCTAAAAACAAGTTCTTAAAACACTATTCCAAAGTTTAGTTACAGATGTTGGTACTAGAGCTAACATTTATATTGTTGGAAAAAATGCACTGAATGATTTTGTGCCAGGTGATAGGGCTAGTATTTGGGGTCTTTAGAAGCTTTACTTAAAATAGTTTCTGGTTTCTACTTAGGGATACAGCTAATTTCAAGTTGTTAAAAACAATACATAAAAAGTTAACAGGCTTGCACTAGATGGTAGAAACACTGTCTCAGAATGTTACAAAACTACTTAGAACATAATGATCATATTTGGAACTAGTGGTAGCTCTAACATTTCACATTTTTAACCATACTCTGTAAGTTAGAACTTGTAGTGGTGAGATTTTCTAGAGTAACTGAAATGTTCTTTGTAGAGTTTCTATTGAAGATTTGCAGATTTGAACCATGCTTCAACAAAAAATGTCTTACTTTTCATTCCCTATGCTTCCTTGGCTTAGATAAAGCTCAAAACTGTGACTGTCATCAGTGTAATTCTACGATACTTCATCTTCCATTTCTGAATCACAAATCAAACATGACAGAAATGTGTCACTTGTTCCTTCAAAACTTCATATATAATACTCTAGCAAATTTTTTTAACACTAAAAGATAAATTGGAACTTTATTCTAAGAAAGATAGCAAAAGTTTTTTATTCCTTGATCTGTTAATTGTATAATTAAATTCAAGTATCTTGAGTTAATTTTTTAAGTATGTGCAATTTAAATTTAGATACTTTGTTTTTTGTTACCACGATCCAAAACCACTAGTAATTTTATGAGGTTTTATTTTTACTACACCTTTTGTATACCTTAGTTTATGAAGAACATTATAATTAAAACATAATGTATTTTGTGCAAATTATAAACATGGGTATTAAAGGCCATTAATAAAAGTCCTTTTGTATCCTGCAAAATTTTGTCTGCCTTTCATAAGAACAATACAGCATAACTGATCTTAGTTTCTTTAACAGTGAAAAATTAGAACTGAAAGAAGCTCATGAACTCCTGAAATATTTAGTCCAGAAACAAAATGTTCCAGTGTTTGCGACTGTTGAAAATGCTGTCCCAGAAATTACTAATTTTTTCAAGAGAAGCTTCCACTCTTTGAGAAGGAAGGGCCTGGTAAGTTGCCAACTTTTTTTTTATGTTAGTTAACAAACCTACTTATGTTCTGTATATGATATCTTATTCTCTAGTGACCTTTAAAAATACCTATATAATCTGAAAATATTTCATTTTCGTCTTAAGTTTACAAAGTTTACTTTTTAGAATAAAGATAAGATGGTAAACTTGGGTCTTAACACTCAAAACAAACATGGTAATCATCCTTACTCAGAATCTTGAAATAGAACAGGTTAAAGTGTTGTAAAAAAAAGATTGGCCCAAATTCCATCTAAAGATCTTCACTCTCCTCCTATGGTTGGCTAGAAAGTAATATAATAATAATAATAATAATAATAATAAAACGTTTTAGGAGGTTAAGAAAAATTAAGTACTACTGTGTATTTAGAACATAAAAGGTTTCCTGTTACTATGTTGATAATAGTAATAGTATAATGGAATTTTGTTTAGGTTTAAAGGGTTTGTTAATACTAATTACTTTAAAATCCAAGGAATATGTAATGTTGATATAAAGACGTGCAAAAATTATACACACACACACACACACACACACACACACACACACACACACACACACACACACACGGGGTGTGAGAGAGAGAACGACAAAATATTTATTTATTTATATTTTAAATATCACTTACTGAATACAAATTATACAACACAATTTTTCAAAATTTACACTAAAGTTTTTTTTTTTCCTACAGAGTAATCATCCAACCATAAAAGTCAACTCGCAACTTACAGGCAAAACAGAGAAATGGTGTTCAAGTAAGTAATGATTACAAGTATAAATAACTTTGTTATGAACATTATTCTTCTAATTATTGGACATGCATATTATTTGTTGTTTTGCAGAGAATGTTAAATTAATTTATTATGCTTGATTTTATAACTTAAATAACAAAAGTTAACAGTTTAGTTTTGACTTTGCTTCTAATATTAACTTCATAAATTCAAATTAGATGACATAGGAAATGTTGCTTAAATTTAAGTTTAAAATTAAAAGTTATAGATAGTTGGTAAGATGAAAGATAACACAAGTTCACTTCAAAATATGGTAGTGTAAGCAAATACAGTAGAGCCTTTGATTGGAAAGAGTAATATTACTTTTTTTGTTTATTTCTTAAGTATATTTTAATGACCTTTTGGTTTCATGGCACAAGGACTACTCTTAAACCTGAAGTTGTCCTCCTTTTTCAGCAATAAGTTCTATCGATGAGCATATTTGTTTTTGTAGTAGTGTATAGTGAATGTTTCAATTGTATTAATAAATAAATATATAACACACTGCACCATGACCATTTCAAACTTTGGTGAGCACTTTGATAACTCTCCTTTGTGGAATACTTTGTCTATTTATTTATAACATTTTAAATATATATAAATTAAACTTCATCTCAATTTCTAAAAATATAGTTTTTTATTATAAAAAGCAAAATTGTGTTTTTTATATGTATTGTAGGTTGGGAATACTACACGAATAGTTCCTCTGCTAGTGCTATCTGTATGTGCTTTGAGAGGAAAATTTGCCATACACGAAATAATGATATAACTACCTCCATAGAAAGGTGAGAAATCCATTAAAAATAATTATTTTTTTATTTTATTAACACCTAAAAAAAGGGTTTGTTTTCAAAGATAATGATCTACTACCATTCTGTCTGATATTATTCTTAATTTAATGTCACCTTTAATCTTTAGTAATAATTCTCCAGTTTGAAATACATGTGGAAATCTTGATCATTATTTATTATTTCAACTCTTGCTTTATTGTTACTTTCTTACAGTAGAAAAGGTGTGACCTGTAGCAAACCAAGTAACGAGCTAGCCCAAAAGGTGGAAGCCATTGAAAAATGTAAAAATCCAGCCTTTATCATCGGGGAAAATTGCAGAGGTCTTTCAGAGCTGATTCTGGTAAAATATGAATTTATAAAAAATATATATATATATGACAAAAGTTTGCTATTAAATGCCTTTATTACTTGTTTTAAGCAGGGGTATATCTTAAGCTTGCATACGAGAGAAATTAGTGATTGATTACTATAAGTCAAGAAGTATATATTCAAGTATTTTGATTGTACTTTGTTTTTAAATAGGCAAATGTTTAGCAAAATATTAATATAGATAAATTCAATATTTCCAGTGAAAAATTATAAGAGCATTATTTTCATCAATCTTGTATTTCTTACGTTTTAAACAACACAACATTACGTTAACAGTATAATTAACACTAGATAGTACTAAAACTCAACATTGAAATTATAAACTTTTGTATTTTGAGGACAAATACCATTATTTTAATCTGTATATTGATCAAGCTAGTTTCATGGCAGATATTTAAATACAAGCAGAGTAGTAATTTAACTATAGACCAATATCTGTACAATTAAACGATCATCTTTATTTCTACTCTAGATAGACGCAGATTAGATAGAATATAAGTATACCCAATGTTTCAAGAAGTTCTTCAGGGAATTGATAAGAAAGTAGATGTTAGTGGGGTTTGGTGTATGCATCACATAGGCAGGCAACTATTAGAAACTTTTAAGAAATTGTATTATAGTAAATTTTCAAAAATCTTAATATTGTTGGACAAAGTCTAGGTATAAACACAGGTAAATTATTTCTTTCTTAATAATGATAAACGAGTAAATAAACAGCTAGTAGCAGAAATAACAAGTTTGATACGTTTAAAACTATTAAATATTTAGTTTTTACATTTTTAATTAACATAAGTATAATCTTGGGATGTAATGATGTTCATTATCTCAATTGAGTTTTAATATTGTGTGTGATGATGTTCAGGAAAATTTGGTATATTAAATTTTTTTATGACAAATAATCTTGCATCCTTCCCAATTCATAACATATTTTGGGTTCAGTATGTTCTACGCTTGCTTATGTGAAAATATTACATTATTTGGGGTATCTTTTTATGTTTGGAAAGTATGATACCTATGCATCTGGTATTCTGGGCAATTTAAATGGGGAGTTTCAAAATAACAAGGGTTTGTGACACAATACTAATAGGCATTTTGAGATGGGACAGTATTTGTTTTAACACTTTAATTGGTTTAAATACAGTTCTAGTATTAATATTTCTCAAAACCTTTCTGATCTCTTCTGAGATATCATTAATACATGGAATGGCAATAGATTATTTGTATTCAGTAGTGTAAATGTGAGGTTTCACTGGATTCTCCCAGTTATGAGATATATGTTTGACTCTAGTTCACCATTTTCTTTACAGGCTTCTTATATAATTGGACGAGGACAGAATGTTGTTCTTCATGTACAGAACCTGAAACATGGTGTCGTTATAGGTGATGAAGAGGTAATTATGTAAGATTAATCCATTAAATTTTATTTGTTAATACAGAAGCATTTCCTAGTTTGTTGGGATATCTGGTTTTTGTCCATGCTATTTGATATCAGATTTTCTAAACATACCTACATTTAAAATGTATGCAGATTTATCAATAGGCATATCTAGTAATTTTTAAGCTATAGCTTTAAGTAATTTGCAAGACATGTTTTCATACATAAATTGGTTTGACCTGTTTTGCATTACACTAAAAAAAATTTAAATGCAAAAAAAGTGATATGTAATTGCAAATAAAAGAAAACTTTTTTAAAAACACTTACAAAAACTAATGTATTTTCAATTTCTATAATTCTAAAATGTAATTTTAAAGCCATAGTAATCGTTTTCTTGAACTTGGGTATGGTGGTCAACAATAAATATTATTTTGGTTGTTTCGTTATACTGTTAACAATTCAGCTAATTGATGGCAAAATTCTGTTCTGATAAAGATAACAGTTAGAAAATATTCTTTAATTAATATTTATGTTCCACACGTCTTTCTTTCATTCAAATGGTTATTCTGGTCTGTAAAAGTATTTATAAGAAACAATGCTGCTTGTAGAGAGGAAGGTATTTAAAACGATTAGTAAATACTAAAGGTATATTACTTTTATGTGGGAATTAAGGCTTTCACTTAAATACTACAAGCATTAACAACAAATATGAATAACATTTTTTTTTCTTTCGAAGTTTTATATCCAAAGTTGTTAGTAGTTCAGTAATAGCTAAATTTTTGTGAAACTAACCGTTAAGTTATTTTGTTTTCCAAATCTTCAATTTTAATGGTTAGAAAAGCATGTTGTGTCCAATAATTTATGAAAAAAATATTGGAAAGTGAAAACTTGTAATATAGCAGAAGTGTACACAATAACATTTATATATGCAAAGATAAAACTTGAAAAAAATGTATACTCTATGACAATGCATTTGGATATGAAACAGCATGTACACTATAAATGTGTGTTTGTGTGCGTGAATGGGCTTTGTTAAATGTACTATAGAAAATAATTGAAAGTGGAATACAAATATTGAAAATTAGATTGCTCTAAACTTTTAATGGTTCATGGGATAATCAGTCTTATTTAAGTAGAGATTGTAAACGATGTTAGCAGTAATCAACAAATTAAGTTAGTCATAAAAGACTAAAAAATTAAATGTTTTATTGTAAATACAGTACTTAGTCTTTAGGTCATCAGGCTTAAACAATCGCATGTAAAGTGTGATCTAATATGCAAAAGGGAGAGAGATGTGAATGTCTGGGGGGGGGAAACATTAACTTTTATAGGGAAAAAAAAGTTTAGTAGTTTTAAATTGTGTGAAAAGTTAAAGTGATTTATGTTTGGTTATTACTCTATCCATAGTTATCTCAAGAAGCCATAAAAGACTACAATCGAGGAAGAGCCTACCTGATGGACCTTGCTCAGAGGTCTCAACTTACTGAAGTTAGGGATTTTGGAAATTACCCTGTTAAGCTATGTTGTAACAGATAATGAAGGCATTTATGGGCCATCTTGTTGTTTGTACTTTTTTTTGTTTTGCTGTCCAGAAAGTAGTGGATATCTTCAATTGTAAAGATTTGTTTGAAAGCCTTTGAAATAGAGAACATAGAGATGAAAATGTATTCCAGTTACATTATCTTCTGTATTCGGAAACAGAGTGTGAAAACTCATAGCTTAATTATCAGTTCATTTAACAGTAAGACAAAACTTTGAAACAAGAAAGGAATGAAGACAAATTTTAACTAAACTCTTCTACATCTATCAAGCTATATATATATATATATATATATATATATTTTAAAACAGTATTATACTTCTAAGTCAGCCATTTGCAGAGACTACAGAGAAATTTTAGAATAACCGAGAACAGAAATTCTAGGAGGCTTTCACAGGCTAAGAAGTAGTTTCCTATAAGCGGTTAAATGTTTTTAACCAGAAAGACTTTAATTTGTCTTAGTTGATACAATATGTTTTGAATTTGTTTTAATGTGCACTTGCATGAAAATATTTTGTTTATGAATGCATGTATGTGAATTTTCAATGAGGCAGGAATATAATGGGATTTATTTTTTATAGCCCACAAGAATTATTTCAGTATTATATTGTGTTATAGAAACATCACATATACTCCAGCTTGAGTATGTTTTAATCTTACTTGAAAGTTTATTTTATTTTTTATAGAACTTATTTCTCGTAACTCACTACAGGAAGATGTGTATTTCTACACCAAAATGTTTTGTATCTTCCTTAAATGATAACTTCTGCAACACAAAGGCGAAATGGGGTAGTCAGAAACGTAAGGTTCAATCATAACTTAGAACATATTACTTAAGGTTGGGGGGGGCATCACTTGCCACTCTTAACTGGATAGCAGAGGATGGACAGTCACAGTTGTAATGATGCTATAGTTAGACGTGTGGACCATATATTGTGGTTTGAACAGTTGATTTTTTGCTAACCACCACACCAAGTCTACCTCCCTAAGAAATAAAGTGGAAGTGTTGATGTAATTATTTTGACCATTGTACCCTATAATGGATATTTGAAGAAGTTGAAGTAGCTGTTATCTCTCATTTTGTGCTCCAACTAACTGAGACGATGAAGTAGCCTTCAATTGCTCATGATTTGATGTGAGAATAGAGGTTTCTAATACTTCTGCCCCTCTTCATCCCCAACGGCTCCGCGGCAAGGCTTACGACACTAGAATTCGAGTTTTGATACCCATATTGGGCAGAGCACAGTGTGTAACTGTACTTAACAGCAACCAAACTAAATCATCTACTCATATTTTGTGTAATTAAAGGAACTTCATTTATAGATATATTTTGGGAACTGGGTATATAGAAAGCTCTTAGTGCTGAAAGTAAAATGATTTTTAATTTCTTAACATTTATATTATTGGATATTATTTGAGGCCATTCTGTAAAAATCGTTATTCATTTATTTTATAATAAAATATTTATATACCACTAGTTTTCTGCATGTACAGATGTCAAATTGTTGTTATAAGTAACCTGTTTTGAAAATAAAACTTGTGTCCCTTCTTATACAGAAAATTGCAAATGATTGTAACACTACCATAAAAATATTTTGAATGTGACTCAAGGAAATTCCTATCATTACGTACATATAAAAAAAGGAAGTAGTAATGGTATAAATTGTTATCAAACAATTAGTATTTCGGCTTCATATGTTTGTTATATAGTCATTGTTAAATACGCTTTTACTTAACAACAAAACAAACTTGCAATACTCTAAAGTGGCGTAAGTTTTTTTACCATTTTGCAGCTTGTGTTTCTTAGGTGATAATAGATAAGGTAGGTTGTGGATATAGCTTGAATGAGTTGGCAACTTAATCTTTTACCTTGGACTTTATTTATGAATCTTGCTTCCTGTTGCAATGAAGAGTTATATGCACGTAGAAGGTGCAAAGATCCTTTTGACTCATTTCGCCTAAATGTATGTTTTACAAGAACGAATAAAAATGTACGTGAAGTTTTACATACATGATCTGCTCGTAGAAATCGTGTATCTGAGTTAATTGGGCCTTTTTTTTCCCCTAATCACTTATCATTGTATTCTAAGTAAAAGTTCTCGCTACAAAGAAGTTAAACGTAATGTATTTATTAGTGGGTAAGGCTAACATCATAGGTTTGTCTAAAGGAATACTACACAAATATGTGTTGCACTCTAGAGGAGTAATAGAAATGTGACAGTGAGAACCTTTTGTCAATATTTTATTAATAATGTTGGCTATCTGTTTTAATATCTCTCTCACACGCACACACATTTCTCTAATACAGAGTGTTTTAATGGAGTTTGTTAAATGTCCAATGGATCCGAGTAAAAGATTGTTATAAAATCAGGTCTTATTAAATAGAGTTAGTTTTGATTTCATGGTGAATTTGGCACCAAATATAGAAGTAGTGGTCAACTGCATTGTATTTTCTCAGTTTCATCATTTCGTTGTCTAACCCCTTTAAGTTAAACATGATAGGCTTTATTTAAATAATATATACGTATGTGGTGAAAAACGTACTGCATGGTAGACTTTATTTTGTAAACCATACACAATTTCTATAAACAATTGTTTGCATAAATACGCACCTTGTTTTATTTCTTTTTTTGAAAAACAAAAACTTGTAAGCAAAATTTGAAACTAATTTTTTGCGCCGTCTATTGTACAGAAGCTGGAACTGTCACGAAAATACTCTATTTGTAAAGTAAAAATGTCAAAATATATTACGTTTCTCTGGACAAAAATTAAACGTGCTTTATTTTTAAATCTCGTGAAAAATGTTATCGTAAAATCTAAATTATAATTTCATACTGAGTCAATACAAATTTAAACAAAAGCTACAAAATCACATGCCAACACTGTTAAAAGAATTAATATATTAATTAATTTAATCTACACGTTTCAGCAGGGTCCAGCCAGGAAAAAGTTCTAACAATTCACAGTTATACTGATATTTGTCTTCTCTTCTTCATATATTCACAGACAGTGTACCAATGCCATGTTGTAAACATCATGAACACGTGCAAAACAAATACCTTTCACCCTTTAGATTAAATTAAAAACTACTTCCAAACTTTATTTAAGTCCGAACAATGGATTAAAATTGAGTTATTTGTTCAGCACGTGTTCGTGATGCTTACATAAGTAATATTTGTACGCTGTGAATTTTGATGAGATGAACCTAAATATCGAGGTAACTGTAAATTGAAGCATTTTAGCCAAAAGATGGCTGAAGTCCCGAGACACGTAGAGTTTATTGGTTTTAATCTGTTTATGTTTTAACAGTATCTTACTTTTTTTTGTATTAAACATACTCCTTAAACTTAATATTCAAAATTTCTTCGCCTCTCAGTAGAGTGAGCTGAGATTTAAACAACTCAATTAAAGTCCACATAACACTTAATTGGTTAACAAGTTCCACCAGTGGCCTAGTTAGAATGAGGAAAGCTGGCATTGTTTGAAACTGTTGTTCTCGTGTGGTGATAGTGCATATTTTGTTGCCTGATAAGTACTTATGTAGAGCTAGAGAATAATAAAGAAAAACTCGAGTTAATTAAACTCTTGACTGTAATGGTTACATATCTTAAATTGTAGATAATTCTATACATCATACTTTTAAACTGTAGCAGGGGGCATTGAAAAGGTATAAGATTGGACAATATCACTCGACACTATTACAAAATAAACTACAGCACTGTAGTTACAAGTATCCGCAAAATGCAGGTTTCGGAAATACTATGCAAAATAATATTTCGGACATGGACAGCAAAGAAAATAAATTACACAAGTGAGGAAATAAAACTGGTTTTATCATTGTGCAATATCTCACAATCCTTACAATGCCGACCTTTATAATCAAGGAAGAAAAGAAGTTAGTAGAAAAGACTTGGGCCAACTCAAGTCGTAAAACTAGCATTGTCTATCGTTATGGCGACAGTATCGGAAAGATTTATTCAAATATTTTTGTGGGAGATTTTAAAATATGGCGTAAAACTTTATTTTGGTTAGCAAATATATACTTTATTTTTGCACCTAAATCACATTGACGACGTTGTTTTTTTTGTTTGTGCAGTATAGTTGAGCTTTATGCAAGTTATGTACCGCTAGATTATTTACGGCAACAAAATGACACGTCATTTTTTGTTTGTGCAGTATAGTTGAGCCTTATGCAAGTTATGTACCACTAGATTCTTTACAGCAACAATATGACACGTCATTTTTTGCTTGTGCAGTATAGTTGAGCCTTATGAAAGTTATGTACCGCTAGATTCTTTACAGCAACAAAATGACACGTCATTTTTTGTTTGTGCAGTATAGTTGAGCCTTATGAAAGTTATGTACCGCTAGATTCTTTACAGCAACAATATGACATGCCATTTTTGTTTGTTTGCTTGTGCAGTATAGTTGAGCCTTATGAAAGTTATGTACCGCTAGATTCTTTACAGCAACAATATGACATGCCATTTTTGTTTGTTTGCTTGTGCAGTATAGTTGAGCCTTATGAAAGTTATGTGCCACTAGATTCTTTACAGCAACAATATGACACGTCATTTTTTGTTTGTGCAGTATAGTTGAGCCTTATGCAAGTTATGTCCACTAGATTCTTTACAGCAACAAAATGACACGTCATTTTTTGTTTGCGCTGTATAGTTGAGCCTTATGCAAGTTATGTACCACTAGTTTTTTTACAGCAACAATATGACACGTCATTTTTGTTTGTGCAGTATAGTTGAGCCTTATGCAAGTTATGTACCGCTAGATCCTTTACATTGTTCATTTTGTGCTTCTGATGCAATACTCGTTGGTAAAAGAGTAGCCCAAAAGTTTGCGGTTGGTGGTGTTGACTAGATGTCTTCCCTCTAGTCTATCACTGCTGAATTAGGGACGGCTAGTGCAGATAGCCCTCGAGTAGTTTTGCGCGAATTTCAAAACCGAGTAAACAAACTGGAACCTGACCCTCTTTGGTCCATCATACGACCAAAATACCGATATTGGAGAGAGAGAGACGCTATTCTACGATAATTATATGTATTACAACACATATTACACAGTGTTTCTATTATAAATATCTACGTCTATTTTTGAGTGAGTGGGCTTCCCTAACGCTAAAAGAAACTTATAAGTTGGCGTCATTCTGTGAATAAGCAAGGTCTCTTCCATGCAAAGACTTTGTTCATCAGTGGCCTTTACTAAGATCTTAAAATAATTTGAACGTACAACAGCGTCACGTTCTCCTGGGGAATGTTCAAGTACACTCAAAGTAGTCGGGATTCACAAATTTATATATATATGTTTTTTTTGTTCACAAGAGTTAACAGTTTTTCTTTTAGTAGGTTCAATATAGCCGTGCTGACAGCAGGAACAAGTAAATTTATAAATTACATTTGATGACTCCAGAAATACGTTTCTTAATCTAAAAAAATAAAATGTAGGCGACAATTAGGTTTAAAAACATACAAGTTGTAGTTGAGGATAAAACTGACGGAGTACAATTCTTAAATAATTTTTAATAATCAAAGGATATTTACGCATCTATGGCAAGGTAATGATAACAGGATATTTCGGGACTTCGTACTCGGACGGTTTATCAAAACTTAGTTTATTCAAATTGCTACGACGTATTCTAGCAATAACATAAATAAGGAAACCATTTTTGCATAAAATGTTTTGACGATATTTAATTCTTTATGCAAAGTTCGTAAATACTGGATATTCTATATCTACGATGGAACAAAATTATAATCAAGTTTTCTTTAAAAACATTTGGTGTGAAACTTGTAAAATTAAAGTACAAACCAGTAAATGTTTTTAATTGCATACTTCACGTTACAAGTGACCGGAAATGAAAGTTTTTGGTCTTGTTGATGTCCAACAGTGAATTCTATAATATTAGCTTACTATTCAAGTACTCAAAAATTGAGAAGCTTGATCTGAATTCATGAAAATGGTATAAGGACACTATATGCGATAGTAAAGCGGTTTGAATGATTTCGGCCAGTCTTCCAAATATCGTTTTTCATGATATTACAGAAAAAGATTGACCAAAGAGGGCGCTAGTTTAGAACCTGTAGCAGCATCATCAATCTGACTATAAAGGTTGCAATTAAGAAGAATATGAGATTCTTTTTGTGCTAAAATCTATCAAATTCATAAAGACAGATTTAGAAATGGTCAAACTGTTGGTGCTATAAAATATAAGATCTGACCTTCCTGTGTATTTTCCTCAAATGGTGTGTTTGTGTAAAACAACTATATATCAAAGCTGGCACAATGAACATCGTTATCAAACTTTATTTGTTGAATTTCACAAAACCGTCTTTGAGCGTGTATTCACTGTTGATGAAAGTATTAAAAAATTCAAGCAAAATTATCTAAAGCAAGATTATAAGTTTCAATCTTAGAAACTATAGGTCGTTATGTGCATTCTTCGTTACAAATTTTAGGACTACTATAAAAGACTTCCAGATGACAACCTGGTAGTCTAATACTGTCCTTTCTCAGTTTTGATAAATATCTTTGTAGCTTTCCTTCTCTTTGTATTGGTAGAGCCATGGATTAACTTTACAAAGCGAAATTTAGGTACTGTATCCAAACCAAACTTATTTTCAACGTTGAATCTGAAGAGTGAATTCTGTTAAGTGCAAGTCGAAAAAAAACACATTAAGCCTTTATTACAGGAAGTGAGTTATGACAATTTGTTGCGTTACAGTTTAGATTATATAATGCACGTGGCGCATTTGAATGATTAATGTAACTTGTTTTCTATCGACTACCTTGAAATGTCATATTTATCTACTTGTTTGACAGAATCACACATTGAATACTCTCAATGATGCTCGAGATGGGCTATGAAAGTTACTGGATAAGTAAAGGATAGATATCTTTATGATCAATCCCAACAAATGGGGTTCCTGGGACGCGTAATGAGTGTCTACAGACCAAACCAAGTTTAAACCTGTTCACAGGTGGTCAAAACCACAGAACATAAATGTGGTAAGAGGATTTAGTTGTTGTACTGTTGTCAGTTTTTGAAATTAGTTTCTGATAAAGCTCTCCAATGAAAGAACATGGGATATTAACCTTAAGCCAGGTATTCAGTGGTTCACAAATGGTGCAAAACAACCCTAGTGGCAAATAATAGCTCAAAGATCTACTGGGCACAGTGAGATTTCTTATGACTATGACGAGACTTGTTACGACAAAAATGGGAATATACCAGTAGGCAGACTTTATGACTTCAGATGATACTTACACAGTCATTACAATCAGAAGCAGCACTCTATCACTTCCACAACTTTTCAACAGCTGAGAGCTGAAACACTGGTTTAATACTGGAAATCTATGAAAGATGAGTGTAAATCATGTGATTTGTGAGAAAATGTCCACAGAAATGGAGCATAAAGAACTATATAAGTGTTGTGTTGGAGAACCACATGATATAGCTGCTGTTAGTGCGTTTGGTCATATAAAACAGATAAATTGGGGGAATAGATACATCTTGCTGATAATTGACTATTTCGTCAAAAGTTCAGAAACATGTGCTATTTGTGGTCAGAAAACAGAAAATATAATAACAAACTTAAACTTGTCAATGAATTTATTTCAAGATTTCGGGTACCTATGAAACTTCACTTGAATCAGTAATCAAACTTTGGATCAGCTTTTTCTGAGTCAAGTAATTTGGATCAGGAAAGCCAGAACCACAGTGCTTGATCTCTATGTTGATTTAATGGTAAATAGAAACAACTGTACACTTTTAAATCGGTTAGCTATTTATCTGGATAAACATCAGAAATCATGGAAATCATGCTCTTTAACTTCCATTTATGAGTTATTGAGCAGTGATATATGAAACTACAGGCAACACACTACTCATACATGACTTTACATGAGAAAGATTTAAATCAGCTAATGATAAGATGAAAAGTTGTTGCGATATAGGTTCTAAACGATCTTTATTCGAGTCATTACCTTACAGAGACAGATCACTGCCAATGTGATTGGGTAACACACTTCCTTCATCATCTCTCCTATAATGCCAGAAACATAGAATCCCTATATACGGATTGTGGCCACAATGCTTCACGGCAGTATATATGAAGGATAAATATAAAGCCTACATTTTGAGAAGTATGCTGAACATTATGTGCTACAATTTATAATTGAGTACGTGTCTCCGTCTTAATCAAATTCCAGCATCATCTCTCCTGGAATGTCAGAATCCCTACATACGGATTGTGGCCACAATGCTTCACGGCAGTATATATGAAAGATAAATATAAAGCCTACATTTTGAGAAGTATGCTGAACATTAAGTGCTGCAAATTATAATTGAGTACGTGTCTCCGTCTTAATCAAATTCCAGCATTAACTCTATCCTATCTATATTACACCAGGGAGCAATATCGTTATAGTGTTTCAAAAGTCATATTTAAGTGGACATGCAGTATTATGCAAATAAAATAACGTATTTTTGATTTTATATGAATTGAAAGAGTAATATACGTGCATATTTTATGCACAATGAACCAACTATGTAAACAGAAAAGACTACAGTAAGTACGATAAATTTACGGATTTCACTGCTGACTCACCAGAGGACGGATTATTACAGACACTTAAATACTGCAAAAGCACAAAGTGGGACTAAAACCTGAATTAAAATGAGAAATATTCCAAATACTATACTTATATGATGTTATGAAATTTGTCGTAAGATGAAAATACAGCCAGGAGAATACAAGTACATAGATGAGAATAATAATATTAATTTAATTTTTTGATTTCTTGAGCTTGGTATAATTACAGACGTTTGAAATAAAGAAAAGGAAAGATTAATTTGTTATACAAATAACTATTTTTAGAAGCTTAAAAGATAGTTTATTTAGAGTTATAAAAGTGAATAAGAAATCAAATTATGAATGCTAATTAATTACTTTTCTTTGGTGAGAAAAGAGGATCATTGAAAGTTTGGAGATTAAGGGCAAAATATACAAAACAGGAAAAATTTGAAACAAAATGATCTTGTATAGAATAGTCCGGTATTTTTTATATATTTCCAATCACTTTAAGAGCTTCTTCAATAGCGTTACATGCTGACTGTAACTCCTTTCTTCTCTTTTCTTCTTCTGCACAAACTTCCATCAAAGTTTCCTGTAAATAACCATATATACTTTACTTAATAAAGGGCTTTTCAATGACAGCTAGTTTTAAAATATATCACACACAGAGAAATATGATTAAAGGTTAATAACATATTTTAAGCAAAAAGCTACACAATAAGTTATCTGCTTTCTATCCACCACGAGGAATCAATACCTCCGGAAACCCAATAGTACTTTCAACATTAAAATTTAATACTTAAATAAGCATTGTAAGTACAATCTAATAATGTTAAATTGCTGCCTTTAACGTTAATGTTAAAACAGAATATTGATTCCGTGTTGTATTTAGGGTTTGATTTGATTTCACACCTCTTTTGCCTCGCCTCTAAGCTAAGTCTAAGGACCAATATACCATGACTAAAGTTGAACATTCGTCGTCACCATTAAATAGTGTCTAAAGAGATGAAGATTAGTCTACACGAAAAATATATGTAGAATACAACGCATTTGTTACCATTAAATAACGTCTAAAGAGTTCAACATTAGTTCTTATCAATAAATAGTGTCTAAAGAGTTGAACATTAGTCCTCACCAATAAATAGTGTCTAAAGAGTTGAACATTAGTTTACTCCAATAAATACATGTAGAATGAGACTTATTCCTTGCCATTAAATAACATCTAAAGAGTTCAATGAGTATAATGAGTTGGACATAAGACCCACCAATAAATCATGAACCACGGTAGTGGTTCATAATAGGGATCGGCCATTTGTTCTTCTTCATTATTATTTAATATTGTTCAGTGAACCTACAGCAAAAATGGATGTGAATATTGTAATAAAACCTGGGCAGTGTTGCTAAACGTATTATTGCGTATTGTGTAGGGAAGATTTTAAGTTTATTTGACTATCTAGCAAATAACAGCGGGTGCATAACCATTGACACCCAACCGTTTTAATGTAAGTTGTGGTTTATATGGAGTCTCATAATCTAATATACGTGCATACGTATATACCTGCGTATTGCTGCGTAAAGGCTGTGGATGTTATTTAATGTTTATAATGCAGGAATGGTACATTTACCACAGCAATTATGAACTTATTGTTGCAACTATATTGATGTCACGTATCATTTGTTTATCTATATGGTTCCTGTCCTTTCGGACTCGACGCTGCTGACAGGATCACAGTTTTTGTTTTTACCACAGCATGATCGAGTTTGACCATGTTATACAAATATCTAGGCGGTCTCCCACAACAGAAATCTTTAAGCTATATTTTAAAAGATCGCACCAAGCTCAGTTTAGAGCATCGGATAGGCAATCACGGTG